TTCACCCGGAGTGTTTGCGTTGGATTTTAATCCTTTATTTTTCCCCAAAACTGGGTGAAATTCATTTTTGAAAATCAATCAAAAATCCCTTAATGAAGACACCAGGAAAGTTCCTAGTGGAAATCAACCCCCAACCCTTGGGGTACATTGTGAAAAAAAACTTGACCCCAAGTGTTTGCCTTGAATGATAATTTTTTTTTTCACTTGGATTTTCAAAAATCAATTGAAAATCCCCGATTGAATTCACCGAGATATCTCCTCCCCCAATAGTCTTCCCCCATCCCTCAGCTACAAATAGAGAATATTTTTAATTGTATACGGCTGTGTTTTTTATTAATTTTTTAATTGAATAACGTGGGCGCGTACAGTGAACGACGATAGTGGGGGCCGTAGTCCCCCCACCACATCTCCCGCTACGTTCTCCCGCCAGTTTCATCGTCATAAATAAAATAACTCATTGTTCAGATATTTCCATCAGAAATTAATTAGGATTTGGGGAATAGGCGTATGGAGTATTCTGAATTTCGGAGTACTGTTGATTTTTATTAAATCTATCTTAATTTTCGAGAGAATAGAAGAAAAACTGTGGAGGAGAAAATTTTAATTTATTCAGTACACCTCAGTGATGTTACCCTCAAATTTAACATGAGAAATCTTATTTTCATACTGGTTACAAATCAAGGAAGAACTAACATACTTTAATTACCTCATTTTCTCGATGATTTTTTTTTCTCGATTATTTTTGGACGAGAAGATTGGCAATGGAAAAAAAAATTTCAACATTTTTGAAATAAAATCATTCATTGTTCAGATATTTGTACTTTCAATGAGAAATCAATTAGGATTTGGGAGAATTGACTTATGGAATATCATTAATTTCGGAGCACTGTTGATTTTGATTTTTTTTTTAATTTTCGAGCGTTTTTAGGAGTTAATGAAAAAAAAATGTAGAGGAGAAAATATTAATGTATTTTTTACCCCTCAGTGATATCAACCTCAAATTTAACATGAGCAATTTTAGTCTCCTAATGGTAGCAGACCGAGAAAAACTAATATATTTTAATTACCTCGTTTTTTCGAGGATTTTTGAGAACGAGAAAATTGTCAATGGAAAAAAAAATCAACATTTTTTAAATAAAAACACTCATTGTTTAGATATTTGCACTTTCAATCAGAAATTAATTAGGATTTGGGAGAATTGACGTATGGAGTATCATTAATTTCGTAGCACTGTTGATTTTGATTATATTTTTTTTTATTATTTTCGAGCGATTTTAGGAGAGAATGGAAAAAACTGGAGGAGAAAATTTTAGATGTTAATCTTAAATTTAACAATTTAAGTAAATAGCAATTTTTTGCAATTTTATGCTCCTGATGGTAGCAGAGCGAGAAAGAACTAACATAATTTAATTACCTCGTCTTCTGGATGATTTCTTACGATCACTGTTTTATTTTTGTATTTCACTCCCAATTTGTTACACAAATAATCCAAAATTATGAAACAGAGAATACACGCATTACAACTTCAAAACGTCTTCACTCTACTTTTCCACGTGTTGACGCTCTAACAGACTACACGGTGATGTCATGCGCAAGCGCATTGAGTCGGAGAGAGGCTCGTGTGCGTGCGAGCGGTGCCGACATAGGGCACAT